CCCTTTTCAATCACCCCTCTCAAGCCCCCCTCTCAACCCCCCCTCTCACCCCCCCCCCCCACGTGGTATGGCTGTACAGAACGACCGCTAAAACCCTGCGCGGCTATCTCGATGAAGTCGCTTGCAACAGAATCGAGATCTTCATTTATCCTGGAGAAATCCGACCATTTTATTATCAACCGATAAGTAAATAAGCACCGAGGAATAATGGTCGTGTAGAGAGACTCTGCAACACATTGTGAGGGGCGTGGTGATGACATCGTCACGCCCCTTCTTCAGGACACGTTGCAGAATTCTGGCAAGTTGCCTGATGACGCTTGCTGCAACTACCAGCGAAACGTCGGACTACCCAATTGTTAAGGTGCCACGGTGGCGAGATGTTTCCTACCTCGCCAGGTATGCAGGAGATCGTGGGTTCGATCCCGACCCTGATACCTGCTGTATATTTGAGTCATTGATGGCTGCACTTGAGAACCAGGGTTAATCACGGGTGGTGGCTGATATCTGGATTCGGACCCAGGTTCTCAGCAGTCCTGGCTCAGCATCTCTGAAGCCATCCAGCAACCTTTAAAAAACAGTAATCCTATAGCGTAAGCAACTGCTTGCGAAGTAATGGGTAATCTGATTACATTAACCACAACTACTGATGATCATTATTTAACGTCAACACGAGACGGTTTTGCGAAGGTTTTTGTAAATAAGTATTTATTGAAGTGCAATAGAGTTTCACTCTTAGTTTCACAAAGTACCGTGACTTACCGACTTTGCCGAGGGGACTTGTGTTACGTGACTTAGAGGCCTTTGCTGGCGTGCTCTGTTCTGCACCAATGACACGAGTCTTGCTTTGAGACCAGTGACAGTAACATTGCACTAGGACGGACTTCGTGCATTCAATGTGAAGGTAAAGGCGCAGCCCCTGCAATCGCCGTGCTCACGCCACCGCTGGCGGAAGAGCCCTCCCGCTTGTCAGAGGGGACCTCGAGACCAGCCGACGGACTAACCATGGTCTACCCCCATTCATTACTGGCTGGGTGGGCAGAGAATCAGAATCTGTATTTAAATTTCCGGAGGAATCCCATGAGCTATGAAGCTCCTTGTGCCCACAGATGTCCAGTAGGGGCCACGGGTTGAGGGAGTTAGAGCAACAACAACAACAACAAGCACGATACAAAAAAACACGATAGGAGTGCAAAGTGGTGAAAAGGTAAACAAGTCAGCGTGAATACATTTGTATAACTAAAGTTTTTATACCAGTAAGTACAAATTGCATAGGGGGGAGGGTGGGGAGAGAGAGGAGGGGGGGTGATTTAAGAAACTCGCCCTCATTGTGTTTGAGTAGATATTTAGACGCAATATAAATTCGCATTATTTATATTATAATTACTTGAAGCGACTTGTGAACTAAATAAACAACACATCCGCATGCTTTTAATAATGAAACAACGCCTTTATATATTATGCATGTATATAGCCTGCAGTCGCAGTGGTCATTGCATTGCCATTGATAAATATGCAAATTGTTGGTGATGATTGTTGTAGAAGTAATAATGATATCTACTTGATAAGTGGTGCAGTCTAGCAGTCATAGACTATGTTGAAATATGTAAGGTTAAATAACGATTCGGAGACCACATTCTCACACATACACGCCGGGACACATCCACACCAATCCTATAGCCAAAACCTAGCCAAATACTAGTACTGATCCTACCCCTAACCCCACTAGCCAGACAAACACTACCCCTACCCCTAACCACACTAGCCAGACAGACACTACCCCTACCCCTAATCACACTAGTCAGACACTACCCCTAACCACACTAGTCAGACAAACACTACCCCTACCCCTAACCACACTAGCCAGACAGACGCTACCCTTACCCCTAACAACACTAGCCAGACACTACCCCTACCCCTAACCACACTAGCCAAACAGAAAATACCCATACCCCTAACCACACTAGCCAGACACTACCCCTAACCACACTCGCCAGCCAGACACTACCCCTACCCCTAACCACACTAGCCAGTCAGACACTACCCCTACCAATAACCACACTAGACAGCCAGACACTACCCCTACCCCTAACCACACTAGCCAGACAGACACTACCCCTACCCCTAACCACACTAGCCAGACAGATACTACCCCTACCCCTAACCACACTAGCCAGCTAGACACTACCCCTACCCCTAACCACACTAGCCAGACAGACACTACCCCTAACCACACTAGCCAGACAATACCCTTACCCCTAACCACACTAGCAGACACTACCCCTAACCACACTCGCCAGACAGACACTACCTCTACCCCTAACCACACCAGCCAGCCAGACACTACCCCTACCCCTAACCACACTAGCCAGCCAGATACTACCCCTACCCATATCCACACTAGCCAGACACTACCCCTACCCCTAACCACACTGGCAGACACTACCCCTACCCCTAACCACACTAGCCAGACAGACACTACCCCTACCCCTAACCACACTCGCCAGCCAGACACTACCCTTACCCCTAACCACACTAGCCAGACAGACACTACCCGTACCCCTAACCACACTAGCCAGCTAGACACTATCCCTATCTCTAACCACACTATCCAGACACTACCCCTACCCCTAACCACACTAGCCAAACACTACCCCTAGCCACACTAGCCAGACACTACCCCTACCCCTAACCACACTAGCCAGCCAGACACTACCCCTAACCACACTAGCCAGACACTACCCCTAACCACACTAGCCAGATACTACCCTACCCCTAACCACACTAGCCAGCCAGACACTACCCCTACCCATAACCACACTAGCCAGACAGACACTACCCCTAACCACACTAGCCAGACGCTACCCCTATCCCTAACCACACTAGCCAGCCAGATACTACCCCTACCCCTAACCACACTAGCCAGCCAGACACTACCCCTACCCCTAACCACACTAACCAGCCAGACACTACCCCTAACCACACTAGCCAGCCAGATACGACCCCTACCCCTAACCACCCTAGCCAGACACTACCCCTACCCTAACCACACTAGCCAGCCAGACACTACCCCTACCCCTAACCACACTAGCCAGACACTACCCCTACCCCTAACCACACTAGCCAGATACTACCCTACCCCTAACCACACTAGCCAGCCAGACACTACCCCTACCCATAACCACACTAGCCAGACACTACCCCTAACCACACTAGCCAGACACTACCCCTACCCCTAACCACACTAGCCAGCCCGACACTACCCCTACCCCTAACCACACTAGCCAGCCAGACACTACCCCTACCCCTAACCACACTAGCCAGCCCGACACTACCCCTACCCCTAACCACACTAGCCAGCCAGACACTACCCCTACCCCTAACCACACTAGCCAGACACTACCCCTAACTACACTAGCCAGACACCACCCCTACCCCTAACTACATGAGCCAGACAGATACTACCCCTACCCATAACCACACTAGCCAGCCAGACACAACCCGCACCCATAACCACACTAGACAGACACTACCCCTAACCACACTAGCCAGTCAGACACTACCCCTACCTCTAACCACACTAGCCAGACACTACCCCTACCCCTAACCACACTAGCCAGACAGACACTACGCCTACCCCTAACCACACTCGCCAGCCAGACACTACCCCTACCTCTAACCACACTAGCCAGCCAGACACTACCCCTACCCCTAACCACACTAGCCAGTCAGACACTACCCCTACCTCTAACCACACTAGCCAGTCAGACACTACCCCTACCCCTCACCACACTAGCCAGCCAAACACTACCCCTAACCACACTAGCCAGACAGACACTACCCCTAACCACACTAGCCAGTAGTAGCAGAGGTGGATCGATTCGTCTCAAACTTCAACCCTCTGTAGACACAGGGGTCCTAACATCACTCAACAACAATGGATGCACTTTCTCCGATAATTACAGCATCAACCAAAATACCGAGGTGGGGTGGGGGTGGTGGAGGAGGGTGTTGGTGGTGGGGGTGGTGGACGAGTATGTTGGTGGTGGGGGTGGTGGAGGAGTATTGTTGGTGGTGGGGGTGGTGGAGGAGTGTGTTGATGGTGGGGGTGGTGGAGGAGTATGTTGGTCGTGGGGGTGGTGGATGAGTGTGTTGGTGGTGGGGGTGGTGGATGAGTATGTTGGTGGTGGGGGTGGTGGAGGAGTATGTTGGTGGTGGGGGTGGTGGAGGAGTATGTTGGTGGTGGGGGTGGTGGACGAGTGTGTTGGACGTGGGGGTGGTGGATGAGTATGTTGGTGGTGGGGGTGGTGGACGAGTGTGTTGGTGGTGGGGGTGGTGGAGGAGTGTGTTGGTGGTGGGGGTGGTGGACGAATGTGTTGGTGGTGGGGGTGGTGGACGAGTATGTTGGTGGTGGGGGTGGTGGAGGAAGGTGTTGGTGGTGGGGGTGGTGGAGTAGTATGTTGGTGGTGGGGGTGGTGGAGGAGTATGTTGGTGGTGAGGGTGGTGGAGGAGTATGTTGGTGGTGGGGGTGGTGGAGGAGTATGTTGGTGGTGGGGGTGGTGGAGGAGTATGTTGGTGGTGGGGGTGGTGGAGGAGTATGTTGGTGGTGGGGGTGGTGGACGAGTATGTTGGTGGTGGGGGTGGTGGAGGAGTATGTTGGTGGTGGGGGTGATGGAGGAGTATGTTGGTGGTGGGGGTGGTGGACGAGTGTGTTGGTGGTGGGGGTGGTGGAGGAGTATGTTGGTGGTGGGGGTGGTGGACGAGTATGTTGGTGGTGGGGGTGATGGAGGAGTGTGTTGGTGGTGGGGGTGGTGGAGGAGTATGTTGGTGGTGGGGGTGGTGGACGAGTGTGTTGGTCGTGGGGGTGGTGGAGGAGTATGTTGGTGGTGGGGGTGGTGGACGAATGTGTTGGTGGTGGGGGTGGTGGAGGAGTATGTTGGTGGTGGGGGTGGTGGAGGAATGTGTTGGTGGTGGGGGTGATGGAGGAGTATGTTGGTGGTGGGGGTGGTGGAGGAGTATGTTGGTGGTGGGGGTGGTGGAGGAGTGTGTTGGCAGTGGGGGTGGTGGCTTAGTCCCTCGTTGCCCCCCAGGACTGGTGGGCAGAGAGGTGGCGAGTGCGGGGGGGGGGGCATGGCTACACAGCAGCCTGCGCGATGAGCTCCTGCAGGCCGGCGGTGGGCGAGAGCTGAACGAGCGAGGCGTGGCGGTGGCGCGGTGCCGTCCCCCGCTCGTCCAACTCGAGCAGAGAGGCGAGCGCCACCTCGCCCTGGAGGAATCTCGCCGCCGCGGCCGCCCGTTCTCCTCCCCAGACCTCCTCCTCTTCCTCTCCCTGCCGCTGCCGCTGCTTCACGTCGGCGTCGGCCGTCGAGCGGCGGCAACGGCAACAGCGGTGGGGTCGTCGCGCCGCGGTGCCCTCGCCAAAGTCCGCCGGCGTCTCGCAGCAGTGGCGTCCCGGTCCGTCCACGAACCCCGAAGGGGCTCCGACGCAGAGCTCCCTGCGGCTGCCCGGACCTCGGCGGGCCAGGCAGCAGGCGGCGATGTCGGTGATGTCGGCGATGTCGCCGATGGTGGCAGCGGTGGGGTCGTTCGCGCGAGCACAATCGTAACCGCTCGGGCCGAAACCGCGGTGGCTGTCGGCGAGGGCGTCGGCCGTCCGGTGGCTCGCCTGGCGCTTGTGCTTCATGCGCCGGTTCTGGAACCAGACCTTGACCTGGCGCTCGCTGAGGCGGAGCAGCGAGGAGATCTCGAGGCGCCGGGGCCGCCGAAGGTACCTGTTGAAGTGGAACTCCTTCTCGAGCTCGAGCAGCTGCGCCCTGCTGTACGCGCTGCGCAGCCTCCGCGTCGTCGAGTCTCCGCCGGGAGGAGTCGCGCAGAGGTCTGTGGGGGGGGGGGGGGGGGGGGCGGGGGAGAAAAGGGGTCATCGTCCGAAACGTCAGCGGCTGTCGAGGTGGTTTTCTGCTTGAGGCAGGCACTGGTGCTCGTTAGCCCCCCAAGATCCCTGGGGTTTTGACATTTCCACAGGAGCTCCACGGTCCGCACGGTCCGCCCTGAGCCGCATCCACTGCACAAACCCGTGGCTGCAGTCGATGCAGATGACACCCGATGCACGAATAGAAAACGTCTCGAGTAGTAGCGGTGTGCGACTGTGGGTCATCCAGAACAGAGACCGTGACGCGACGTCCAACGAAGACGCGATGCCCCGACCCGCAAATACGAAGGGAGACGTCGCGGCGACGATTGACCACTACTCCCGCTACTCCTGACGCGGTTATCTGGGCTCGACCTCCTGAATGTGAAATTTCAGTTGTTGCTCTGCATCGACATCAGCAGTCGTACAAAAGAAGGAGAAGAAGCAGATTTAGAGTCCTGCTGAGTCAGTGGTGATGGGACATTTCACATTGCTATGGTGGTGAATAGCATCTCTCTGTTAGACAACTACCTTTGAGTGACATTGCACATACAAAGTGGTACACTATTTTATAGACCCCCCCCTCCCTTCCCCCAGAAGGATGATGGGCTGAGTCAACCCCGCAACCTTCCCATGTGAGCTGCTGTCGCCACGACTAAGCCACCCGGCCGGATGGTGATAATAATTAGTAATAAGAATCAGTATTATCATTATAATTATTATAATGATTGCCCTTTGTGAAGATGTTTGTGTGACTATTATAACTAATTATTATGGCTATTAAATTAACAATTATTATAATTAATAATTATTATAATAAAGGTACATGTATTGTCTTACTCTTTGGTTCTTTCGGTAAAGTCACGTAGAAAGAAAATTAATTAAATAATAGAATACGACGTTTCGATTGCAACACAAGCAATTGTCATCAGTTCTAGATTTCAATTCGAATTCGCGAGCACAAATCAGATTTGAAACACGGCAAAACGAATTCTTCTGCCGTGGCTGATCACTGTTACAATGCTGTGGGTGATCACGATATAATTTTCTCCGATACCAAGGTTCTTTGCAAACCCACGGGTTTTTATCAGAGATTTGTTCACGAGGCAATTCAGATCTACAAACACAGACACAATTTCAACCGAGAAGATGGTTTCAAATTAAGCAACCATTGGAAAGATGTTCTAAATCGAACTAAACATTAAACTAATTTCAATGGTACAGTATATTTTTCAAGTAGTAGTACCCCAAACTTTCGCAGCTCTTATAAATTCCCTTTTCACACCATCAATAGGTAAACTCCCCCCCCCCCCGTGCCAAACGGCAAGTCCACCGGCACGTACACCACCTCTTTTCTGAAATCGGCCAATCAAATGCTATTTTTTATGCTAATTTCTTTGTCAGGACACCTTGTTTGCTCGCACACAGTTTAAAGGTCCGCGGTCTGAGCGTGGTTGTGTCTCACTAAATTCTCCTGTTTGATTTGTACTAGGTGCCTCGGTGAATGTATATGCTCTGACTTTAACATAGTTATTTCTGTGACCAGTTACAAGCTAATCAGCTATTTCAATGCTAAATTCTATGCTAATCCCTTTGTCAAGGGGTGCCTCTGCGGATGTGTATACTTTAACTTAGCTATTTCAATAAGTCATTTCAATGATAAATTATATGCTAATTCCTTTGTCAAGGCGCTTTGTTTCTTCTCACACAGCTTAAAGGTCGTGATCTGAGCGTGGCTTTTTTCACTCCAGCGCTGTCCTCCAGACAGTCTCGTCCCTTCACCTGATGAAGGCCGCTTGTGTTGTGACCGAAACGTCGTGATTTTTGTTATTTTATTTTTTACCTACGTGACTTTACCCAATAGAACCAAAGAGTTATTGTCATCAGGTAGAACTAAATTTGTTGTGTGCCTCTCTCTGTGTGTCTATGTTGTGTGTCTCTCTGTGTGTCTCTGTGTTGTGTCTCTCTGCTTGTGTGTCTCTCTGTGTGTCTCTGTGTTGTCTCTCTCTGCTTGTGTGTCTGTCTGTGTGTCTCCGTGTCTGTGTTTTGTCTCTCTCTCTCTCAAATTTAGTTCTACCTGATGACGGTTGCTTGTGTTGCAATCGAAACGTCCTACTCTATTATTAAATGTATTGTCTTTCTACGTGACTTTACCGAAAGAACCAAAGAGTAATTCCTGCAGTCACGAAAGCTTCAAATCATGTATTGTCTTTTAAAAAAAAAGTTCTTCACACAGGGTTAATAATTATTCATTGCTGGCTCTGCGACCCTGACCGCAACATCTGTGACAAAGGAGCTTCATAGCTCATCGGATTCCTCCGGGATCCACACAACAAGCTGATTCTGCTGCCAAGGCTGTGATTGGCTACCACCGTGACACCGCGGGGATGGAGCCGGGAGCCACGTGGGGTGGTGGTGGTGGTGGTGTCCTGTCGCTCGCTTAGGACCGGGGTCTGCGTGGCTGCAGGACTCGGGAGTAATGCTCGTGGAGGACCTCATCATATTTCTTTTTATATTGGAAGCAATCCGGTGAGCTATAAAGCTCTTTTTTTCACCGATGTCCAGATGGGCGCGGGAAAGAATGTTACAACAAACAATACAAAGCCACGATGGGAATGCAAAGTATAGGAAATGTGAGCAAATCACTTAATAATATACAAATAAAACTAGACGCATTTTTTTTGTTTACTTGCCAGGTAACGCTCACTTGAGGTATTAACTTATTTCTCGTAAGCGACCTGCCCACAAATGGTGGCTCAACAAAGTGGCTCATCATCATGTTGGGCCAACTCTGAACCAACATCAGTCCTAGCACGAATACCGCTACGGTGGAGAGATGTTATCTCCCTCGCCTGGTATGCAGGAAGTCGTGGGTTCGATCCTAACCCTGACGCCTGCTGCTGTATATTTGGAGTTTTGCGTCTCTCTCTCTCTCTCCCCGTGGTCGCGTGGATTTTTCCACGGGTCCCTCCGGGTTTTCCCCCCTCCACGTTTTGAATCGACGTCGCGCGTTTTAAGAGCATTTGGCTGCGATACTTTTCCACGTGGCTTTTGAAAATTAGCTATATCGTTAAGTGGGCCTTACCTGGTAAAATAAATAAATACAATTTTGATTTAAAGCTTTCATGACTGCAGGGATTCATATTCTTGGTTCTATCGGTAAAGTCAAGTAGAAGGGAAACAATAAAAAAAGAAAAATATTTTATTGTTTTATATTTGTATTATTTTATTGTTTCACCTTCTATGTGACTTTACCGAAAGAACCAAGAATAAATAAATACAAACTTAGTTTAAGTTTGGACTATGAAAGTGAACACATGCACTGTACTGCAGGAGGGCTTTCGCGGCCAAAATGTCAGGGTGTAGAATTTGTTTGTGTTGTAAACCCCTCCTCCAACCGAGGCATCCAACGAATGAAGTTGTCAAGTGGTGAACAAAGGGGGCCGGTTCACTACTGCTGCGGCAGCACGCACCACTGATTAGCACGGTTGGCTACGTACGGTGCGAAAGAAGTTCAACATACACTGCCCATAGACTAACACTGCCCATAGACTCAACACTGCCCATAGACTCAACACTGCACCACTGATTAGCACGGTTGGCTCCGTACGGTGCAAAAGAAGTTCAACATACATACTGCCCATAGACTCAACACTGCCCATAGACTCAACACTGCCCATAGACTCAACACTGCACCACTGATTAGTACGGTTGGCTCCGTACAGTGCGAAAGAATTTCGATTTAAAGCTTTCGTGACTGCAAGGATTCATCTTCCTTGGTTCTTTCGGTAAAGTCACGTAGAATGAGAATAAAATAATACATTAATAAAATAAAATAACACAATAAAATTCTCACGACGTTTCGGCCACAACACAAGGAACAAACCTGTCGGGACGACGAAGCTCTGTCGTAAAGTAAAAACGACGAAGCTCTGTCGTCCCGACAGGTTTGTTCCTTTCACCTGAAGAAGGCCACTTGTGTTGTGGCCGAAACGTAGTGAGAATTTTATTGTGTTATTTTATTTTCCTATTTTCTTATTTTATTCTCATTCTACGTGACTTTACCGAAAGAACCAAAGAAGGTGCGAAAGAAGTTCAACAATACATACACCTTATTCTTTGGGTCTTTCGGTAAAGTCACGTAGAAAGGTTCAAATGAATAAAAATCCGTATAAAACAAACAATTTTAATTTGTACCTATCTACGTGACTTTACCGAAAGACCCAAAGAATGCGAATTCCTGCAGTCGTGAAAGCTGTAAGTCAACAACATCACACCCAATACACCGGTGTGATGTTGTCGAAGAGCGATCCACACGCGCGCGGACACACCGTTGTGCACGGACGTGCGGTCAGGGGAGGCAGGGGCGGCAGGGCCTCACCTGTCATACTCCAATGAAAACAGCTGTTAGGAAAAGTAAAAAAAAAAGAATCAAATAAAATAAATATTAAGATTGTTCCACTGATCTGTGTTATCAATGACATTTCTGTACGATTCCAATCATTTTTTATCGTCAAAGTCGCCAAATTTGCGGAACTCCGCTGCAAATACTGCAGGAAGAGACGAGAGGTGAGGCAGCGACGAGCTCAGCCTCCCCTCTGATTGCGCAACCCCTCAGTAACTGGATGGAGCGCGGGCAATAAGCGCGTGCCTGTTACTATCTCAGTATGTCACCAATGTAATGTTTGTAGACCCCTTCATTTCATGTCCTCGCCTTCCATACTCCAGGTAACTTTTTTCACGTGTGTGTATAAAGGTATTTAGGCTCGCTGGTCTCGTCATGAAACTGAAATGAAAAAGCACAAGGGGAGGCAGCTATCACATCTGCCTCACTGAGGAGGACGTGTCTAACACGCCCCCCTCGGTGAGGACACGCCCCCCCCCTCAGTGAGGCCACGCCCCCCTCAGTGCGTGAATCTTTGCTCTGACACTAGCCAGTGCCTCCCCAGCCGTTGACCTCACCGCACGT